TCTTTGATGTAGAGCGAGTTCAGACAAATTGGACAAATCATCATCTTATGCACAAAAAAGTAAAAGCAAGTAAGCTCGTCTTTGATGTAGAGCAACTTCAGACAAATCGGCTTATATACAAAAATGTGAAAGGAACTTTTTGTGAAGTCAGATCGTCATAGATCTAAAGCACAAATAGACTTATGCACAAAAAAGTAAAAGGAATTTTTGGGTACCCAGTCCGTCTTGGATGTAGCGCAAGTACAGACAAATCGTCTTATGGTAAAAAATGTGAAAGGAACTTTTTGTGAAGCCAGATCGTCTTGGATGTAAAGCACAAATAGTCTTATGCACAAAAAGTGAAAGGAATTTTTGGGTACCCAGTCCGTCTTGGATGTAGAGCGAGTTCAGACAAATTGGACAAATCATCACCTTATGCCCAAAAAAGTAAAAGCAAGTAAGCTCGTCTTTGATGTAGAGCAAGTTCAGACAAATCGACTTATGCACAAAAATGTGAAAGGAACTTTTTAGAAATCCAGCTCGTCTTTAATGAAGACCCTGTTCAGACAAATCGGACAAATCATCGTCTTATGCACAAAAAAGTGAAAGAAACTTTTTGAGAACTCAGTCGTCCTGGTTGTAGAGCAAATTGAGACAAAACGTCTTATGCACAAAAAAGTGAAAGGGATTTTTGGGTACCCAGTCCGTCTTGGATGTTGAGCAAGTACAGACAAATCGTCTTATGATAAAAAATGTGAAAGGAATTTTTTGTGAAGCCAGATCGTCTTGGATGTAAAGCACAAATAGTCTTATGCACAAAAAGTGAAAGGAATTTTTGGGTACCCAGTCCGTCTTGGATGTAGAGCGAGTTCAGACAAATTGGACAAATCATCACCTTATGCCCAAAAAAGTTAAAATAAGAGTTCATCTTTGATGTAGAGCAAGTTCACACAAATCGACTTATGCACAAAAATGTGAAAGGAACTTTTTGAGAACTCAGTCGTCCTGGTTGTAGAGCAAATTGAGACAAAACGTCTTATGCACAAAAAAGTGAAAGAAACATTTTGGGAACTCAGCTGTTTTGGATGTAGAGCCAGTTCTGACATATCCAAATTGTTTTAAAACTAGGAATAATGCAAAATTTGTATAAAAACAGGCGATAAAGCAAGACAAGAATGGGAAATATTTTTAAAAAGATAAAAATTTTCTACTCATCTTGAGGACTGTATTCTATTCTCAAACAGCCAATTTGGTTTTCGTCATCGTAGATATAGACAAGATGCTATCTCTAAGTTTCTGAAATACTCTTTAAAATGTTTTGACTTTGCTTTTGGCTTCTAGTAAAGCGTTTGATTCTGTTTCGCATCCCCTTCTAATAAAGGAGTTATAACGAGTAAAGTATGAATGTCTTACAGCTTTATCACTCTTCTTTCTTCTTATCTTAATAACTAGGCAACTGTAATGAAATAAGCTTGTTGTTTTGAGTAATGGGAATTGTGATAAAATATTATTCAAAATAAATTTTTCGAAAATTTCTCAAATTGATGACAGGATTACTTTAAAATATTGCGTTTCTTATGTGCCATGCTCTGTCCCTAATCCGAACTTCGGCACTCCGAACATTCCAATCATCCCAACAGGATAAAAATTCAAGAAGTAAGAAATTTAAAGAAAACAAATGAAACATTATTGGGGGAGAGGAGAGAGGAGGGAGAGACAGACAGAGAATGAATGAATGAATGAGTGAGTAAGTGAGTGAAAGAGATTGAATAAATGAGAGAGAGAGAGAGAAATCTCTCACGTTCCTATCAATAGTAAAAAATGAATTCTAAGATCAATCTGCTATTATCTTTTCTTAAATATAATATACCAAGTATTTAACAATGAGAGACCAAGAGGAGGAAGCAATGAAGAATGAAAAATAATGCAGTGTTGAGTTGAATTTATTTTGCGCATACGTGTGCATGTATATAAGATCTTCAACAAAAACAATAATTCTTGTATTTGGTTTAAAAGAAATATCGGAGCTTTGAGATAATTCTGCATTTTTAAATTGATTGGAAATACGTATCGAAGGGAAATTACATTGGAGTCCGTATTGCCAAAATTTAGTCAAAACGTTGGAATTCACTTGATTTATTTCATGTAGACTTATTTCATACCCACGTTCACTCAATTTTAATACATGGTTTATTTGTGTATGCTCATTCAGCATCCGAGTAAATTATGTCTCTTCCTTTTTTATATATATTTATGTGCTACAAATTTAGTTATGTACATAAATTTAGAACTTTACAATCTGTACATAAGTTTAACACAATAAATGAATTAAAGTTTGTTTCATTCAACAAGGAAGCCCCTTTTGTATAACTTACTTCCAGATAACTTCAAAGCTACAGTTTTAAATATCCAATATACAAATATTTTGTTTTTTTACAAAACAATAAATAAACAAAGAACCTCAAGTCTTGCGCTCAGAATTTGAAAAAATTTAGCAAACTTGAAACTCTTGTGTTTGTGAGTGACGATTTCCCAACGTCTTCCGTTCAAAATCAATTGGGACAAAAAAACATGGGTATCTAGAATATCGGCAGATACGTGCAGAAACGTGGAATAAATCTGCAGATGGGTCGTGTCGGAGAGTTTCCGGTGGGCCAGAGCTTAGGACGGGCTCACACCGGAAACACGGACAACTTATTCACATTGGGATGCTGGTCTCGAGATGCCTAACAAGGAAACGTCAAAACTCTACTAGCCTCTCCACTTTCATACATTCACGACTCAAGTAGCCCCTTTACCTTCATGCAGTCACGACTAGAGTACCCATTCACATTCATACATTCACGACTCAAGTAGCCCCTTTGCCTTCATGCAGTCACGACTAGAGTACCCATTCACATTCATACATTCACAAATCGTAGCCACTTTACCTTCATGCAGTCACGACTAGAGTACCCATTCACTTTCATAGTCACGACTCAATTAATCTCCACCCTTCATACACTCAAGACTCGAGTAGCCCTTCACATTCATACATTCACGACTCGAGTAGCCCTTCACATTATACATTCACGACTAGAGTACACGTTCACATTCATACATTCACGACTCAAGTAGCCCCTTTACCTTCATGTAGTCACGACTCAACTAAGCCCCTCACATTCATACAGTTAGGATTCGACTAGCCCTTCCCTTCATACGTTCATGATTCGAGTAATATAGCCAAGTTGCTTGCTGTTTGAAAACAAAACGAATCAGTTTTATATTAATTATTGGCGAAGCACGTATGCGCTTCATTGTGAACTCAACCCTCTCTACAATATCTAGTGATTCTACCGGTACAGTAAGAGAAATGTGAGAAAGTTGTGGTTAAATCCTTACATTGAATATTCTATGAATTGCAAGTTATTCCTTTCAACTTGTGTACAATCCAGGAAATTTCTCAACTTCTCTCACAAATTTTATATTGAACATTCATTGCGCACACCAATAGTAGGACAACGACCGAGAAACTGGAAAACTTAGAGACCAGCATGTCGATCCCCTAATTACTTGGTAGTCTTGGTAGCCCAGTCAGTGCTCAGACTGGAGCATCCCGTTGTGAGTTGTACGACCTGAGACATTGGAATTTGGAATCATTATTTCGTATTCGTTGGCTTAATAAATAATTTTAAATAAATGAGTTGTTTCAAAGAATTGAGAATAAGTTGTTTTGTAGAACGATTCAAGTTGACTTATTCAGTTGTACAGCAACATTTTGAAGATTTGAAACAATGCCTACCATGACCTTGGTCGATCTTGAGTTAGGTACTTATGGACCAAGATATTCACAATTCATACAGGTTTTATCTGGCTACAGGTAATTGTTTGCTAGTGATGTAACGACATAAACTTTCACGAAGGATGGGTTAACCAAGAACCATACTTTTTCAACTATTGGGTAAAACTTTTTTTTTAATCTAGAACTTTCGATCTGAAATTCGTGAATAATTTAAAAATCACAGAACAACTTGGGGGGAACGGGGCTAAGTAGTGGGCTTTAGGTCGAAGCTACCTGGGATCGAGTCGTACTGAACGTTGTCGCAAGATTGAGCCAATACCAGTGTGAAAGGGTCAATTGCCCTTTGATTGAATCGGAAAAAAAATCGTATTTAATCGGTTCCAACCTGAGACCAGCCTTAACATTCATGAAAAAGTCGGTTTAGCCCAATGTCGCGAAATTTTTCACAAGTCACGAGAGCGGAGGCGAATATTTCGAGATTATTTCATAAGAGTAAAGGACGTGAAAGGGAGAAGGATGTGGGATCAGACGTCGAGAAAAAAAAATGATTCGACAGGAGGACCGGCCGGCTGCGGGCCGATAACAGCCGTTCGGCAAATTTGGCGATCGGAACCGGTGAACTAGAGAAGCCCTACGAGGGAAAAAACCTCTTCCCACGCGCATTTCTTGATGAAAAAAAGGAAAAAACATCCTGGAAATTATAAAAACCGGAAGAAAATCCTCGACGCGGGTTTCCGAGGACGCCGGCGGATTGGGTTTTGAACTCGAGAAAACCGTTTGAAACGGGCGAGACGGACTGCCGTCTCGGCCCTGTCAGACCTCCTTTCCCATAAGTGAAAGCTTTCAGAGTAAAGAAAAAGCGAGATACATTGATAACATATCGTTTCCGAACTCGAAATCCATAAAAAAGAGATAAATTTGAAAATATAACCGATTGTGATTTTCAACCGAACCGACAACAGCGTCTGAGAACGGCAAAACCGCCCACACTGGAAAGCCATGAGAAATGTCCAGGGGGCGGCGAACGAACCCATTGAAAACACGCCGAATTGATAAAAATCCATGGGGTTGAAATTCATGAGGTTGAATTGAGGCTCTAAAGACGGGAAGGGGTCGAGGAGATTGCCTTAGTGGGCGAATTTCTGTTGCTTTCGAGGGTCGGGTCGAAATCGGCTGGACCCTCGACAAAATAAGCTCCCAGGGGTTAAAAGGTAAAAAAAAATACGAATTGAAAACTCACCGTCTGTCCTCCTGATCTGAATGCTCATTCCGGATTTGATTGGATCCATTTTTGTTAGAGTCCGACGAAGGTAAACTGTTCGATAAATCGGCCGTCTGGGTCCACACGCGTCGAAAACAAATGCGAATTGACAAAAGGGGCTCGGACAACTCAAAAAGAAAAACAACGGGTCCCACACTCGAGACAGTCAGTTGAGACAAGGGGTTATTTTCAGTTTTACACTACTTCCATATTCTTTGGTGGTGAACAGATTGGTCGTGCCGCTATTCATTTGTTATATGATTTTTCAATCGTGAATGTGATCGAATGCCATTTTTCACCAGCGGCTTGATGAAATGGTCGTTGCTCGCAGACGAGTGAATGTGACGGGACCGGATGACTAACCTTATAACCGACAAACGGCCGCCAACTCGATCGGGTCGTAACTAAAAAGTAAAAAAAGTCTCGCCGCCTCGTTCGGTCTCTGGCCGGCCTAGCTCTTCTTCCCACCTTCCACACAACGGCCCTTCTAGTTTTTCACTTTTCACACTTGCAGATTTTCTCTTTTTCATTCAGAAAAATTTGAAAAATTCCCGATTACTTTGCCTATTTTAAATTGTTCCCGCCCGAGAGAATCTCCTTCCTTGTTTACACATAGACAACAAAAATAACGGATTCATTTTTCATTTGTATGCTTTTCAGGACGGCGGATCATTTCAATCCGCCTTTTTTTAATTATTTTTTTTATTTATACTGCTGACGATTTAACGTGCCTTTTCTATGCGGATTATTGGGGGATGGTTAGAGGATTATTAAATTTTCATATTGGAAGGTATGCAGGATAAAAAAGGCCGTCGCACACATATGCCGTGTGATTCAAACAGAGTTGGCGCTATTTTTCGAAATGTGGTCATTTTATAAGTGTTAACGTTATTGCATATTTCTGTTAATTTTCTTTTTATGTAAGGTCTTGGTTGAAATGAAAAAGCTAGTGTCACGAGCGGGATTCGAACCCACGACCTTCGGCTCAAATCCCGCTCGTGACACTAGCTTTTTCATTTCAACCAAGACCTTACATAAAAAGATTAATTAATTGAAAGAAGTAATTTAGTCAAGACTTAATTTATATGTATTAGGGAGAGGATTTCTACAATAATAATAATAAATTTTACAGAATAAATCCAATTTTGAAAAATGTTTAAATATACACTGAGGCAAAAAATGGCCACCCTCGATTTTCTTTAGTAAATTTTTGTAATCATTACAATTTTTAATTTTCGTTGTTTACAGTATATTTTTAAATAAAAATAAAAAATATAGCTAAATAAAAAATTCAACTGAGGGATACAATTTTATCAAAAATTTGGAAACAATGAAGAATTCAATAAGGAGCATTTGGAAGCTGTGGAATATTTTCATACCCCTCCAAAAGTGCCTAATTCCTGCAAATTCTCCGGCATCACTGGTCGACTTTTCACCCACTCTGACAACTCTTCCCAAAGATGTTCGGTAGGTTTAAGTCACGCCTACATGCTGACCAATCCAAACATTGAATTGAAGCACATTTCAAGTAGTCACCTATTATCCTAGCTGTTGGGTCCTGGCATTGTCATGAATAAAAATAAAACAGTCACCAATCAGTGGCATTTAAAGAACATCTTCTGATAATACATCTTTAATGTATCGTTGCAGTTATGGAACACTCAATGAAGATCAAACATGTACGACCCATAGAAATGCCTGTCTATTGTCTATAAACACTTCCATAACACCACCAACTCCATTGCTTCTCTGGAGTGAAAATGATGCTAAATTACTGCTCTCCTGTTCTAATCCAAACCCTCTCGACTGTCAGGAGACCTCAAACAAAATCTTGACTTATATGAAAACAAGATTTTTGTCCAATCTTGCTCAGACCAATCGATGAGATTTCTTGCAAAACTTAACTGGGCTGTTTTATGGCTTGTCAGAAGTGTGTAAACTGATATTAATATTTCTAACTTGTTGAACTTGATCTCAATAGCAGTAGAATTTCAATTATAGCATACATTCGAAACAATAAAACGATAATCTCTCTGAGATGTGACATGATGGCAATCCCGATCCATCCTTCTTGAATAACCCCCAGTACCTTGGTAGCAAAGGACAGTTGTTCCTTCAGACAGTTGTTCTGTGAATGTTAAGCACCTTGGCCACATACGCTTGACTTCTTCAATCTTTCAACAGTGCCAAATCTGCACCACTTGAAGCCATCACTCAAGCAAATTTGAAACTTAAACATTTATGGAGTTTTAAAATCCAATTGTAAACACAAAAGGGAGATTTTATCTGTGTTTTATTTACCTCTAATCCTTTAAAACGGACCAAATATTGTTGTAAAATAATCAATGGAGAATTGCCTAAGAGATAATTAAAAATATTAAGGGTGGCCTGTCTCTCAGAGAAGAAACGAATACTCTGGACCACTGTATTGTCTTGATAAGAGAGCAAATTCAATTGTTACTACCAAGCTTTCATGGTCATCATCACGACAAAACAATCTTAAATATGTGTTCAGGCATTTGTCTTTTTTTTTATTTTGATGATGCTGCCATCTTGCTGATCAGTAAGTAAACTGTAGCAAGAGAGGACAATTTTTACCCTAAAATAAAATGTAATGTAAAAAGAAGCAAAGTGTTGTGAGTTCTTTTTTCAACTCTAAATATTTATTGTCTTTAAACACTTCTAAAATAAGTACCGTAGCGTACATGATGGTCCTCCGTGCCGCGTTGACATTCGCCTAGAAGAAATTGTGAAAGAAACCACCGAGAAAAGGGTGAGTCTCCTAAATTCATATGAATGAAAGTGGCCATTAATTTGCTGCACTTTCCCTTCATATCCTTAACCCCAAATCCCAATCACCATAAATACCAATTAATAAGCACTGGTTTTATATCCTTCATTGGGAAGTAATTGTTTAAATAAAGTACATCATAATGCCAAATAGTATAACTGAAGAAGTTGATATTAAAAGACTTCATTTTCAGAGAGGTAAAGTTAAGACTTCTTTAACACGATATAAGACGTTTTTGCATTCTCCTGACCTCAATAAGGATGATAAAAATTTAATTAAAGTGAAGTTGGAAAAAAATGAGCCACTGTGGACAGAATTTGATAATATACAAACTGAAATAGAAACGGCTAACCCTGAAAATGAAACGGAATTAATTCAAAGAGAATATTTTGAAGATGAATTTTGTAGATTAGTTAGCAGGGCTAGGACACTAATAGAAACTAGTAGTACAGATAGTAAAGAGTCTATCATTAAGCAACACATCGCGGAAGTTAGGCTTCTGGATATATTGTTACCCACCTTCAATGGAAAGTATGAGGATTTCCTTTCATTTAAGCAAGAATTTAATTCTATAATAGATGAAAGAACAGATTTAGCACCTATTCAGAAATTTAAGTATTTAAAAAGAGCATTACAGGATGATGCAGCTTTTTAAAAAGTATGGAAGTAACAAACGATAATTATAACTTGGCATGGGAGTTGCTTGAAGAACGCTATAATCATAAAAGGCGTATTGTATTTAGGCATATAAAGGCAATCCTTGACTGTGAAAAGGTGGAAAAGGCTTCAGCTAGTAAGTTGCAGAATATTGTGGATGTTACTTTAGCCAATTTAAGAAGTTTAAAAGCTTTAAAGCTACCTACTGAGCATTGGGATCCACTTTTAATTGTAATTTTAGACAGAAAATTAGATCCTGGAACACGTCAAAAATGGGAAAGTGTAATTAATAGAAGGGAAGTTCCAACCCTTAGCCAATTTATTTCTGTTCTCCAAAACAGAATTGAAAACTTAGAATCTATTTATGAGGATAAGTATACGAGAATAAAGGATGTTTTCAAACAAAATAGTAATAAATCAAAAAATCTGCATTTACGTAATCATGATGAAGATAAATTACAGTATAAAGACACATGTGCTTATTGTGGGAAACCTCATAAAATTTATATCTGTAGACTTTTTAGAGCATTATCTGTATCTAATAGGTTACAGGAGGCATCTAAATTAGAACTGCCTTAGAAAGCACAAAGGTAGTGACCGATGCTCTACTTATAAATGCCAGAAATGCTCAAAATTGCATAATACTCTATTACACCAAGAAGAAGAAACTAAATCCAGTTTGCAAAATGAATATCAAAGTAGTCAAAGTAAAAATGATGGAAAAGAACCAAAGATCACTACAAGTGCCCTATCTTTTCATCACAAACCGAGAGTTTTACTATCCACAGCAGTCATCCACGTTGAAAACCTGAAAGGAAAAAGTCTAGAATGCCATGCTCTGTTGGATAGTGGTTCCCAATCCAATTTTATCACCTCTGCTCTAGCTGAAGAGCTGTGCCTTCCTACTGAAACATCACTACTTTCAATTAGTGGCATAGGTGGAATATTATCAGAAAATTTAAACTATTCAGCAAATTGCATTATAAAATCTCGATTTGAACCATTTCAGACTAAGCTAGAATTCTTGGTAATTCCAAGGGTTACCTTACTCATACCGGAAGCTAGTATAAATACCACTGACTGGGAGATTCCTTCTAATCTGTTTCTTGCAGACCCTAATTTTGATAACTCTGGTCCAGTTGACATGCTCATTGGCGCTGAAATATTTTTCTATATACTAAAGCATCAGCAACTATCTTTGGGGAAGAACTTGCCAAAATTACAACTCACAGCCTTTGGATGGGTAGTGGGAGGCAAGGTTTGCAAACATTCTAAAGAGGAATTAATGCAAGATGTAACTGTAGCAGCCTGTAGTCAAATCGATGAAGAATTACATAATTTTGGGAGATTGAAGAAGGGTTTTTACATCCAAATCTGTCTTCAGAAGAAAAGGCTTGTGAGAAACTGTTTAAGGAAACAACAATGAGAGATTCGGATGGTCGATTTGTAGTGAAATTGCCAACTAAAAATGAGTTTAACCAGTTGGGATTTTCTACAGTAATGGCAATGAAACGCTTTTTCCTACTTGAGAAAAAACTGGATAAAAACAAAGATTTAAACGCTGCATATATTGACTTTATGGAAGAACATGTTAAGCTAAAGCACATGGAAGTTGTTAAAGAACCTTATGTAACTGATGTGCCTACATATTACATGCCCCATCATTGCGTTCATAACATCCACAGCTCAACAACAAAATACCGCGTGGTTTTTGATGCTTCTGTTAAGACTACAAGTGGGCTTTCTCTTAATGACGCTTTAATGACTGGCCCTGTAATTCAACAGGACTTAGTTTCAATAATATTAAGGTTTCGCTCTTATAAATATGTAATAACTGCTGATATCACCAAAATGTACCGGCAGATTAAGATTTCAGAAGAGGATAAAAGTTTGCATAGAATATTTTGGAGAAAATCTCCTAATCAACCACTTATAGAGTATCAGTTAAATACTGTTACCTATGGAACTGCTCCAGCTTCGTTTCTCGCTACAAGATGTCTGCAACAAGCTGCTAGAGAACAGGAAGATAAATACGCCTCTGCAGTAAGATCAATTCTGCAAGATTTCTACATGGATGACTACCTGACAGGTTGCAATGATTTCGAAAATCTCAAATTAATTCAGGAAGAGGTTATAAAAATACTTGAGGGCGCTCAGTTTTCTTTACATCAATGGTGTGCAAATGAATTGGCATTATTAGACAAAATTCCTACAACAAAAACAGAAACTAAATTTATCCCAAATGAAGAGGACATTTCAATCAAAACCCTTGGCATCTGGTGGAATCCAGAACAAGATTACTTTACATTTTCAATTTTTCTTCCTCCAGAACAAAAGCCTACAAAGCGTAGCATCCTGTCAGATACTGCTAAGGTTTTCGATCCCCTTGGTTTAGTGGGACCGGTCATTGTAAAATTCAAAATGTTTTTGCAAGTGCTTTGGTCATTAAAGACAGAATGGGATGAAGCACTCTCTACAAGTCAATTAATGGAATGGACTTCATTTAGAAAGGACCTTAAGTTCTTGGAGACTCTGCACATTCCTCGACCTGTTTAGACAGCCTGGGATGGCCTTTATGAAATCCATGGTTTCTGTGATGCATCAGAAAAAGCATATGGAGCTGTTATATACATCAGAACTGTTACCCAAGATAACATATATTCTTCTAGACTGCTTATTGCAAAATCAAGGGTAGCTCCTTTAAAAAAAATCAATCTTCCCAGACTAGAATTATGTGGAGCCCTTCTATTAGCCAAACTGGTGAACAAAGTTCAAACATCTTTACAGATGAAATTTGAGCGCAAATTCTTGTGGTCAGATTCTACAATTGTACTCAACTGAGTTACTTCGCAATCAGCTAAATGGAAAACATATGGTGTCATGTACCTGGCAAAGAAAATCCTGCTGACAAAATTTCCCATGGACTTTTAGTTGCAGACATTTTAAACGACAATAATTAGTGGCAAGGGCCAGTTTGGCTTTCATTCTGGCCAGCTCAGCATGTGATTGATGTTACATCTGAAGAACTAAAACAATCTGTTTTGGTAACTACTAAGACAGTTAAATTGTTTGATTGGAACAGGTATTCTAGCTACCCTCGGATAATTAGAGTTGTAATTTATTTACACAGATTTATCAAATTATATTTGAAACAACATATACCAAAATTTATATCTAGTGATGAATGGTCTGCTGCTGAAAGGGTATGCATCAGACATGTGCAAACAGAAGCCTTTACAGAAGATATTTACCATCTGCGTTCATGGGGACGTTCACTCTAAGAGTAAACTGCTGACATTGAGCCCTTTTCTGGATAAGGATAACATCATCAGAGTAGGTGGATGAATTGATAAGGCTAACATCTCTTATAATCAGAGGCATCCTATCTTATTACCTAAAGGTCATCAAGTAACTTTATTAATTGCAAGATGGGAACATATTCGTAATCTTCACGCAGGACCGCAATTACTCTTGGCTTCCTTGCGACTAAGATTTTGGCCATTGGGAGGAAGAGATCTTGTAAGAAGAACATACAATGCATGTATCACTTGTTTCAAGGCCAAACCTAAAGGTACCCATCAAAAAATGGGCAATTTACCATATGAACGCCTGAAGGTTGGTCGACCTTTCCTCAATACGGAAGTGGATTTCTGCGGCCCATTTACTATTAAAGCGAGTACCATTAGGAATGCAAAACTACAAAAGGCTTATGTAGCTATTTTTATCTGCCTCTCAAAATGTGTTCATATGGAGCTTGTTAATGATCTAACAACACAAAGCTTCCTAGCTGCTTTAAAGAGATTTTTTGCAAGGCGAGGAAAGGCAAAATTAATGATGTCAGATAATGGTACGAATTTTGTAGGAGCAGCTCGTGAGTTGAATCAATCAATCTGCAGAGCAAGACAAGACCCACAAGTAGCTAACTATTTAGCCAGTGAAAATATTACCTGGAAATTCATACCTTCCCAAGCACCAGAATTTGGTGGTCTGTGGGAAGCAGCAGTAAAATCTTTTAAATTTCACTTTAGAAGAGTAGTGGGAGACAAAATTTTTACTTATGAGGAACTAATGACATTTCTTGTATTAATAGAATCAGTCTTAAATTCCCGTCCTATTCTTGCACTTAGTCCTAGTCCCAATGACCTTGCACCTCTCACTCCTGGCCACTTCTTGATAGGAGACTCCCTTACATCTATAGGTGAAGAGGATCTTCAAGAGGCTAAACAGTCAACACTTCCAAGATGGCGTAGGGTGCAACAAATGTTCCAATCATTTTGGAAAAGATGGACACAAGAATACTTATCCAATCTACAAGTACGAACGAAGATGCTAAAAGGGAACTGTAATCTGCAAATTGGACAGCTCGTTCTTTTAAAGGATGAAAGGACACCTCCACTGAAATGGCCTTTAGCAAGAATCTGTGAGACGCATCCAGGAGCTGATGATTTAATTAGGGTAGTTACCCTAAAATCTCGTAATGGAGTCATCAAGAGACCAATAAATAAAATTTGTCCTTTGCCATCTCGAATAGGAAGTGAAGAGTCTCCAGAAGAAGAAGAAGAAATTTAAAGTTTTCTTTCATGTTAAATTTATTTTATTATTTTTTGTCTATTAATACTTGTTTATTTATCAAGTTAATTTAAATATTTCTAATTATTTCAAAATTTATATACTATGGCAGTTTTACAATTTATTTGTTTGTATTGAATCAATTTATTAAATTGTTTCAAGGTGGCCGGCATGTTCAGGCATTTGTCTTTTTTGATTTAGATAATGCTGCCATCTTGCTGATCAGTAGGGAAACTGTAGTAAGAGAGGAAAATTATTACCCTAAAATAAAATGTAATGTAAAAAGAAGCAAAGTGTTGTGAGTTCTCTTTTCAACCCTAAATATTTATTGTTTATAAATACTTCTAACATAAGTACCGTATCGTACAACTCTATTACTAATTTCTTCCTCAGATAAAACTTTTCAATTTCGCATTTCCTGGGGTATTTCACGTTTTTTAATTAAATTATTTTCGATATCCAGTCAAGTAATCTGAAAATTACTTTACGATCATAATTCTGTGGATCTTCGTCGACCGCAATTTCTTTCAGGATTTTCGAGTCATCAATCTTTTCAGGACATTTTCAAGATGTTCCACGTAGAATGGGATTTGTGCATACGTCTCTTATCTGTTTTATAATTTAAATTTATATTTAAAAGGTTACTTAAGATAATTTATTTATGAGTCGTACAAACCAATTCGAATGAACGCATGATTGTTAGTAAGGATGTGAGTAATTAATTGTTGGGTAATTTCTTGGAGTTCTGTAGGTTGATGGTAGGATTTTGTGAACATTGTTACAGAGACAAACTAGCCCTTTTGTATTGTACATAATTTTGCTTTTTAGCTTTTGCTTGTTGCATCTTAGGCCATACAGTGTAGACTGACGATATACTATATTTGGTTTTAGTTCTAACTTTTTCATTAGTGTTCTTTTCGTTGTCATAATTAGTTTATTATCTCTATTTAACGTTATGGTGTAAACTGCAGGTTAATCTTCAGTCTAGGAGGGGGGTACATAGATATTTACCTCTGTCATTGAGTTGCTGGTTAAAAAATATGAACAAGTCGCCGATTTGACATGGCTTTATAAATTATACAGGGTCATTGGCCCAGATGTGTAAAGGCAGATTTATATTAGAACGTGCAGGGTACCGGACGGCTATCTTACGGGGCACGTCAACATATTATCTCATTGTTTTCAAGTAGGAGAGTTCACATTAGGGCGCCCCGCAGCCAGCCCGCAAGCCTACGATTCTTCCCCGTCCCGTATAGTATGAACTCCACCCTCGTCAGTACTCAACACGTAACAGAAGTGACAAACATTGACAAGTCATTCTAAAATAGCCATAAAAATTTTTCCTCATCATAGTTCAACTCCTTGTAGAGGGTAACGAATTCACCTTCTGATCCCCTTTTCTTCCAAGCATGTACATCCCATCTTCTCGTCTTTTCCCTCCTTCCTCATCAAGAGCTACAGCAATAGCTGCTAATTCAACAGTGTTAAAGTTCATGTTATTATCGAGCGCGCACATACAAAAAGCATATCCCGATGTGAACGCTAGTAAAACTGATGAAAAATTGAGTTGAAGATCCCAGCCACTGCCGTGTAAGCAGCCCGGTGTAATGTAAATACAAACGCCTTACGGAACTCGTTCTCCACATGTCCCGTAAGATGCCCGTCACGTTCTAATAGAAATCGACCTTAAGGGTGCCAACCGCGACGGGCCTATTCTGGGTCGGGTGGTCTCTGACTTCTGAGGGACGACCTACCAATCGTGCCCTTGATCACATGCATCTCTGACGACCCCGCAGAGCGACGGTGCTATCTCTTCTTTTTATCTGAGTTTTAATTGAGTATTTACCTCGATAAGCTTGATCTCGGTTAGTCGGTTGTCAGTTCCGGAGTTTGGCCTGTCCTTCGCCCCATTTTCATTTCCCCCGAGACGCCTATTCATTTATTTTTGTAATATATTTTTTTATTGTACAAAACAGGTACATTTCAGTTGTCCCTACTAAGCGCATTTTCATATACTTGTTGCAGAAGTGGATTGGTGTGGTTCAGTCGTTGGCAATGCTAGTCTTCAGTGACTGGTATGCTCAGATCTGAGTCCAAAGTGACATTTCTAATGTGCCAGGTGTACAGTGACCGAACAATTTGCAAAATGTATTAATTAATTTCTGCCAATTTTTCCCTACACTGTGAAACTTCACTTCGACTACATAATAAGAATTTTATCCCTACCAGATAATAGACTCCCGAAGATCCTGGCCAAGCAGATTGTAGATAAAGAAATGTATTGGTTTAAGGAAATAAAAAGGCATATCATGCAATTTAATTTGGACTTGTCCTAAGACCGGAACAATGTCGACAGAGTTGAACTATGGAGGGATGGTATGAGACTAGTTAGACGGTCCATTTGTGACAATACAAAGAGACAATATTACACAGCTTTGGCCAATTCAGTCAGTTTCCCACTCCATAGAGAGCTTATTTTCAAATCACCAAATTATCTAACGGATCTCTCGCTACCCTTAGATAGCATGCGGTGGATATTTAAGAGTCGGGGGGATCTGTTTAACTTAAACTACAAACACTTCAAGCAGCAGGATATTAACTGTGAACTTTGTAGTGGTACAGAGCGAGAGGATTTGTTCCATTTCTTGGCAACTTGCCCTGCCCTGACCGCTGTCAGGAAACACTATTTTGGTAGGGAAACTCTGTCTAGTGAGATTCTGCTAGAATATATTAATGGCAAGGAATGGGCTGTCTTGGTAAATTTCTGCAAAGAAGCTTATTCTCTTAGAGCCAGAATCAGAGGCACCTGGTGAGGGTGGAGGCGGTTTCTTTTGTCGGATTCCCCTGAATAGGTGAAAAGCTCATCTTCGACCTGAATATTATATTTTAAACACTTATTATTTGTTTTGTTTTTTTCTATTATCTCTTGTGGTAGATTATGTACTGCATTATTATTTATGTTTACTTTTATTATTCCCATTTACTTTACTTTAGTTTATTTTATTATTGAGTTATGTGCACTATAGGTAATCATAAATAATATATATATATATATTTGCAACCATGTTTCAGCTATTATTATATAATTATGTTCTACTATTACATTACTGAAATTTTTGAAGAAAGTATGTATTCCTTTTGTAAATATTAATTATAATTACAATTAATTAAGGTTTTTAGTTGAGATGAAAAAAAGTCAATGGCACGAGCGGGATTCGAGCCCACGATCTTCGGCTAGATACGCCGCTGCTCTACCACTTGAGCTATCGTGACCTCGATCCACTCGGACATCAACTTCCTATCTCAACCCCACCTTATGAGTTTTCCCTCCTTGAGATAGGAAGTTGATGTCCGAGTGGATCGAGGTCACGATAGCTCAAGTGGTAGAGCAGCGGCGTATCTAGCCGAAGATCGTGGGTTCGAATCCCGCTCGTGCCATTAACTTTTTTTCATCTCAACTAAAAACCTTAATTAATTGTAATGATTTAATTGGTCAAGCGGACCACGAAATTAGTGAATTTAATTAATTATAATTACTTGTAAATAAGAGAGATTTTAGTTATATAAATTTATGTGCTAGACTCCCTCAGACGGTTTTAAACCATGAGGAACGTCTTTCTTGCTCTGTAATGTATACTGCCGATCTGTAAAGTTTGTATATATATTAAACAATAAAGACATATAGTAGTAGTAATTAATTTCGGATCCGCGGTAGGGCTGGTATACATTTAATTATTAAATAAGAGCAAAAATTCCGGATTCAACAATTATTATGTCTTTACAAATTATAGTATAGATGCCGGCACTTTAATCTAATTAAAAAAAAGATTAAATCCCCAAATCACGCGAATTGCCACACTGATCGAACTAGTGTTAAGTACCTTTGCTTCTTTATGTAAGAGGTACCGTTCGACTTACGAGGATATATTTGAGTTGAACAGTTGCATGTTGGGTGTTGTTAAGAAGAGCTTATTTGAGAAATCAAAGGCAGCTTGCAGTTAATCTATGTTGTTTCGTCAGAAAGAGTTAACTCTAATGGGGCAATTTGGCAATTTTCTGCGCTTGGTAAATCGATCTAGTTCGATTCAGTTTTGTTCTTCAATTCAAACACCAACGTTCTACTTCATCAACAGAACATTGCGGTTTATCATCTTAGGACCTTCGCCATATCTCGATGGCTAAAAAATGAATGAACCGGATCAGGCATTTTCTATACAAGTCTAAAATATGAACAATCAAACTCATTAGGGAAGTACACATCGGTCTTAAAAATGAAATAATGCCACCAACCCTTGTGCCTTAGAAAATCTTAAAGAGGTAGGACTGACAAAAATCCCCATAAGATCGGATAGCCAAACAGCTTTAAAGCATTAGTATGTAAAAATTAGTGGATGAATTCTAGAGGTGCCAGACACAGTAAGTTTATGTTAAAAGAACCCTCACCAAAACTGGCAAACTCACAGCTGCAATTGGAGTGTGCCAGACTCAGAGGAGTTATTAAGCGATTCCTGGCTGGTCTGAGAAAACATCTACACAACGGGCATATTCAATTATGATTCCGTTTGCAGAGTAAGCAATGAGGAGAAAGAAACTGCCACTCATATTATCGTCAAGTGCGAACAGCTCATTGGGGACATAATTTAGGATACAAAGAAAACCAAAGGATAGGAATTATACGACAGTCAATGAGCTAGTACTCCTTAGAAAAAGGATAGTCGATTGCATTGAACTAAGGAACTAGGAAAAGTACAATAAGCCAGAACGCTGCAGTGCTTGGGAACATAAAACCCCCACGTCTTACTACCCATATTCATCATCATCATCATTACCTTTTACCTTATCCTGCGATCGCATATGGCAATACCGGTTTGTCAAGGAACATCCCTTTCCTCTTATATTACAGTAAAATCTGAAGCCCCCGAAGGTTGGTTGGGTCGATCCTTTTTACAAACATTGCCGACATCCCTACTCCCTGTCTGTTCTCACTCCAACCCATGAGT